ATGTAAATTTCCCCTAGTGACCTATATAATTATGATGTTAACTTCCACTATTGACCTTTATGATTATGATGTTAAGTGACCTATATAATTATGATGACCTATTTACAGGTGATGATATCAGGGCTGTACACCTCGGAGAACAATCAGACCGTGAACTTTGACAGACCGGTCAAGGCCGTTGCCATAGACCCCAAATTTGCTAAACATGGCAGTGGGAAAAACTTTGTTACCGGGGACGACAAGGTCAGTGGCTACAGATTATTAATTAAATAATTATTAAACTAATCTCTTTTTATTTCATAAGGACTTTATTATCATTATTTTATAACCTCTTGTTTTGACTATTTAGAGTACTAATTTCCCTTAACTGGACTCATTTTCATTTGATTTCTCAGTGATTTGCTGGAGTTAAACTATTTTAACTTTTTGCAAAAGTGCAAGTAAATTCTTTCAATTATTATTATTAATATTATTTTGAAGACAAATTATATTTTTATTCTATTTATAGCTGATATTGAATGAGAGAGGAGGACTGTTCAACCGACACAAGACAGTACTTCTCCACCAGGGGGAGGGGCTGATCAGAGAGATAAAGTGGAAGGGGGATTTCATTGCGTGGACAAACGATCATGTAAGTATATAATTATATAGCTGTAAAGCAGTCATACAGTTGGATTGGGGGGTGGGTGGGTGGGGGATAGGGGGGGGGGGCTGATCAGAGAGATAACGTGGAAGGGGGATTTCATTGCGTGGATAAACGATCATGTAAGTACATGTACATAACTATATACACAGGTAGCTGTACTAAGCCAATAAAAAAGTTTGGGGGGGGGGGGCTGATCAGAGAGATAAAGTGTAACGGGGGTTTCATTGCGCTGGAAAAATGATCATCTGAGTTTTAATCTCCAAACTAATAATACAGTTAGAGGGTAGGGCTGATCTAAGCAATTAAATGGAAGACAAGACTTCTTTGCATTTATTTCTGTGGTATGCATTAAAATGGTTGTCTTCTCAATCCTATAATACTAACAGTAAAACTTGCTTATAGTGAGTATGCTTATTATGAATCCATGCTTACAGCAGGTTGATTTTCATTCCCAGTTACATGCATATAATAACACAGTTATAAACTTAATGAGTAAAAAGATTTACATTTTTGTAACGAATCAAAATCTTTTGACCTTGGCAGTTTGCTGCATGTATAACTGTGTAATACTGTATATTTACAATGTACAAAAATGAAAGAGATTCGAGAAAATGATTGGGTTTTTATTAGTTATTCATTTTTTTATTGTCAGGGAGTAAAAATTTTTGATATGAGCTCCAGGAACAGAATCACCTTCATCAGTAAAGACCACAGGTGAATTATTATAAATAAAGTGATAAGAATTATAGACATCTAATTCAGTAAAATTAATAAACAGAGTTCAAATATCAAAATGTTTATTCATAAGCTCCAGATGTGACACAATTGCTTTTCTATTTTTAGCTATCGGCCTGACCAATACAAATGCAATATGTGTTGGAAAGATGGACGCACACTTCTCCTTGCATGGGCAGATAAAGTGAAAGTAAGAAAATATGATGTGTACCAAACAGAAAGTAAAAGTAGAATTATTTCTGTATAATTAGAACTTAATTGAAGATGTAAAAAAATATACTTTTATTTGATTTGAACAGTCCAGTCCAATACGAAAATTCGTAATATTACGAAAAAAACGTAAGATTACGAGAGAGCGTAATATTACAAGTTATCGTAATATAAAACTTATATTACAATTTTTCATTATGTAGTTAAATTACAAATACGTGTAATATAGCAGATTGTAGAGACTATATTACAAGTTTTAGTAATTCAAGACAAATTCAAGCATTGCAAGAAATTGAGTGGCGGGTAGAAAAGTATGACGTTTACTACGAGATGTCACGGGCGATAACTTGTACGACTCTTACTGAGATTTGAATTCTTTGTATTTCAATAAGAATTGCACGTACAGTTGTATTATGAGACGAGGGTGTGATTTTTAGGGTAGACTTCGCAAGAAAAGTAGAGAGTTCGGGTGATATAGACCAATGCGACATGCTTAAGCGAATATTGAAATTTACTGGAAAATTGGTCTTATCCTTGGGAAAATTCCTATAAAAGAATAATGAAAGAAATTGTCCACTCACCCATCGCTGGCGGTACTTTCTTCTTGAATTTCCATGCTTTCTGATAGGCGTAGCTGACAAAACTGACCGTGTGCTATTAGTAGATGTGGAATCTGATATATTACTGACGTCATACTTTGCTACCACCACTCAATTTCTTGCAATGCTTGAATTTGTCTTGGATTACGAAAACTCATAATATAGCCTCTATATATAGTAATTTAACTACATTACGAAAAATTGTAATACACATGTATAAGTTTTATCTTACGATAACTTGTAATATTACGCTTTCTCGTAATCTTACGTTTTTTCATAATATTACGAATTTTCGTATTGGACTGGACTGATTGAATACATTCTTTGAAGATGAAAGTTATCTTTTAAATTTTTAAATTTCAAAATAAACATGCTACCTCATTTTAAAATCATTTTTAATTTCAATGTAATGATGTAATATGTGATGAAAATTAAATTTCAGGTTTGTATTGTAAAAGACAGGGAGGATCGGGACATTAGAGACTTACCACAAAGATATGTAGAAATCAGTGAGTTATACAATAATATCAGAGACTTACCACAAAGATATGTAGAAATCAGTGAGTTATACAATAATATCAGAGACTTACCACAAAGATATGTAGAAATCAGTGAGTTATACAATAATATCAGAGACTTATCCACAAAGATATGTAGAAATCAGTGAGTTATACAATAATATCAGAGACTTACCACAAAGATATGTAGAAATCAGTGAGTTATACAATAATATCAGAGACTTACCACAAAGATATGTAGAAATCAGTGAGTTATACAATAATATCAGAGACTTATGTAGAAATCAGTGAGTTATACACAAAGATATGTAGAAATCAGAAATCAGTTACCACAAAGATATGTTATACAATAATATCAGAGACTTACCACAAAGATATGTAGAAATCAGTGAGTTATACAATAATATCAGAGACAGTGAGTTATACAATAATATCAAAGTGAGTTATACAATAATATCAGAGACTTACCACAAAGATATGTAGAAATCAGTGAGTTATACAATAATATCAGAGACTTACCACAAAGATATGTAGAAATCAGTGAGTTATACAATAATATCAGAGACTTACCACAAAGATATTTAGATTACCACAAAGATATGTAGAAATCAGTGAGTTATACAATAATATCAGAGACGATACAAAGATATGTAGAAATCAGTGAGTTATACAATAATATCAGAGACTTACCACAAAGATATGTAGAAATCAGTGAGTTATACAATAATATCAGAGACTTACCACAAAGATATGTAGAAATCAGTGAGTTATACAATATGTAGAAATCAGTGAGTTATACAATAATATCAGAGACACAAAGATATGTAGAAATCAGTGAGTTATACAATAATATCAGAGACTTACCACAAAGATATGTAGAAATCAGTGAGTTATACAATAATATCAGAGACTTACCACAAAGATATGTAGAAATCAGTGAGTTATACAATAATATCAGAGACTTACCACAAAGATATGTAGAAATCAGTGAGTTATACAATAATATCAGAGACTTACCACAAAGATATGTAGAAATCAGTGAGTTATACAATAATATCAGAGACTTACCACAAAGATATGTAGAAATCAGTGAGTTATACAATAATATGATATGTAGAAATCAGTGAGTTATACAATAATATGAGACTTACCACAAAGATATGTAGAAATCAGTGAGTTATACAATAATATCAGAGACTTACCACAAAGATATGTAGAAATCAGTGAGTTATACAATAATATCAGAGACGATACAAAGATATGTAGAAATCAGTGAGTTATACAATAATATCAGAGACTTTCCACAAAGATATGTAGAAATCAGTGAGTTATACAATAATATCAGAGACTTACCACAAAGATATGTAGAAATCAGTGAGTTATACAATAATATCAGAGACTTACCACAAAGATATGTCGAAATCAGTGAGTTATACAATAATATCAGAGACTTACCACAAAGATATGTAGAAATCAGTGAGTTATACAATAATATCAGAGACTTACCACAAAGATATGTAGAAATCAGTGAGTTATACAATAATATCAGAGACTTACCACAAAGATATGTCGAAATCAGTGAGTTATACAATAATATCAGAGACTTACCACAAAGATATGTAGAAATCAGTGAGTTATACAATAATATCAGAGACTTACCACAAAGATATGTAGAAATCAGTGAGTTATACAATAATATCAGAGACTTGCCACAAAGATATGTAGAAATCAGTGAGTTATACAATAATATCAGAGACTTACCACAAAGATATGTAGAAATCAGTGAGTTATACAATAATATCAGAGACTTACCACAAAGATATGTAGAAATCAGTGAGTTATACATCAGATACTTACCACAAAGATATGTAGAAATCAGTGAGTTATACAATAATATCAGAGACTTACCACAAAGATATGTAGAAATCAGTGAGTTATACAATAATATCAGAGACTTACCACAAAGATATGTCGAAATCAGTGAGTTATACAATAATATCAGAGACTTACCACAAAGATATGTCGAAATCAGTGAGTTATACAATAATATCAGAGACTTACCACAAAGATATGTAGAAATCAGTGAGTTATACAATAATATCAGAGACTTACCACAAAGATATGTAGAAATCAGTGAGTTATACAATAATATCAGAGACTTACCACAAAGATATGTAGAAATCAGTGAGTAATAGATATTGTATATATATTAGCACAGTAAAACTCGGCTATAAAGAGGTCACTTAGACATGTGAAATTACTTCACTATATCGGATTCAGTAATTCGTTAAATCTATAAGGAATTTGTTAAATTTATATAGTTGGGGATCCAAGATAAATTCGCTATATATGTGTTCATACTAAACAAGTTTTGCTGTTACATTATTATTTTATCAAATAAAAGTTGAATGTCACTTGCCTGTAGTATTTCCCCACTTGGAGACAGCTTGGTCATTTTTTCAGTTGCTGTGTGTATGATCGCGCCGTTTTCCAGTGGTATTTCTCCACTCGGTGACCTTTGGCTCATTTTTCAGTTGCCATGTTTACTATCGACTCGTTTGCCTTTGGTATTTCTCCGCTCAGTTGACATTTTATTTTGCAGTTGCCATGTTTACTATTGACTCGTTTGCATGTGGTATTTCTCCGCTGAGTGACAGTTTGGTCATTCTAACGTTTGAAAAAGAAACCCAGGAAGAGGTAGGCACACTGATTGTAAAAATTCTGAAAGAATTCTATGCATTTCTCAACCAAAGTAAATTTATTAGTTATTGTCTTGTTATCTTCAGAAATCAATGAGTAATATTTTGTTTTTTCCGTCTTCATAAAATGCACTTTATTTGAAAAGTACAGTTATGTTAGAGATTTAATACTTTGAACATATTTATATTGGTTGCTAGGACAACAGACAGGTTTCCAAGCGACCACACCTGTTAATTGTGGAGCCACACATGGAGTATTTTGAGGAGATTTCTAACGACGCTTTGTCAGTACGGGGATTCCAGGAATACAAGCCTATCGACTATCACCTAGGTAACACCAGATATCAGATATTAGATGAATAATGACTTAAGTAATACAAAAAACTAGATATCAGATATTGACCTGGGTAACTCAAAAAAATCATGTATCTGATAATAACTGAGCTAACATAAAATATTCACCTAAGTACCATGGAAACCAGATACTGTATATATGGAAATAATCACCCCTGTTTTATTTTCACCTCTTTGGCCCTTACATGTATCTTGGTTGGACGAATTTAAAACAGGGCAAATTCAAAGGATACAGTATAATTCCTTAACCAAAACTGTGACTGGGCAAATTTAAAATGGGCTAATTGTTTGAAAGTGTGAAAGGGCAAAAATAAAGCGGGGCAAAAATAACCCTGTTTACTAGGGCTGTCACGGTTAACCGAAAACTCGGTTAACCGCTCCGAAATGGCATTCGGTTCAGTTCGAGTCAGGTTTTCCGGAATTCGCTTCGGTTTTTTTTATCTTTTATATAATACTAATTTGCTTGCAACACGTGTTGTGATTGGTTGTTTATTTCAATGAAGGGTTCTTTAACCAATGAAAATACAGCTAACATCGAAGACATTTAATAAAACATGGCATACACATGTGGAAGGAAAACCAAATCACAAGTAATTGTTTTGTCAACCACGTCCCCTACTTTCAAAAACATGAAGTATTCCCACACTTGTGATTTGGTGATAACTCTAGTCAATAACTATATTTATTTTATTTTATTTTAAACAAGAAGTTTATTACTTTGTTATTTTTTGTTACATTTAACAACTTGTTCTGTTGAATAAAATGGATAGAAATTTGTGTCAGCAAAATAGTACTTTCTACAATGTCCTTAATCCTTATTATCCTTTGATATATATGTAGGACTCCAAAGTGCGATGGGACTCAAAAGTCTGATGGTCACGCCAAAGTCCGATGGTCTGCACCAAACCCCGATGGTTTGACACGCCAAAGTCCGATGGTGCGGAAAATAATTAACGTTTATGACGTCATAGTACTGCTGCGCAAAAATGCGATACCGCGCCATGCCAAGCCCGATTTGTGTAAAATAAAATACTAATAAATATTACATGCAAAGATTAACCCTAATCTTTTAGATATAGGTGCAAGACTAACACTTATCAGTCGAAAAATGTGTTAAAACTATAAGCTAGATATCTTGGATGGGTGCTGGACTAACCCAAATCAGTCCAATAGTGTGCGAGGACTAACCATAAAATCTCTCGGTGAAACACATTGGTGTTCAAGAACTAACCCTTATCAGTCAAATGGTCTACAAGGACTAGCCCTAATAGCTCTGGTGGGTGAAAACAATAAGCAATATCAGTAAAAAGGTATGTGAGACGAATACTGAATCAATGGATTTTGAATGCAGGATGTGATGACGTCGGACTATTGTGACGTCATAAACGTTGATTGTTCCTCCGCACCATCGGACTTTGGCATGTCAGACCATCGCACTTTAGCGTCGCGCATCTCATAGGAAACGAGCCATTGGACTTTCGCGTGTCCATTGGACTCTGGCGTCCGTAAAGACAGCGAGCCATCAGGGTTTGGCGCAGACCATCGGGGTTTGGCGAGACCATCGGACTTTGGCGTCACCATCGGACTTTGGAGTCTTACATATATAAAGATGTTTTATTTAAATTCTCAAAATGAAAACCGAACCGAAAAAAACAAAAACCGAGAATTTATTTTCTGAACTGAACCGAACCGAAAAATGTCTGAACCGTGGCAGCCATACTGTTTACAGTACTCAAGTAATCATTTAGTAAGTAACATGGAAAGTCAGATATCAGATGTAGATATTTACCCAAAACATCTGATATCAGACAATTGATATATTGTATAGAATATGAAAATTTATTAACATTTCATCTTCTAATTACAAATTGCTGTTATCATGTGGATGTAGAAGTATAATGATAACAAAACTAACAGCTTCATATAATAAATACATGTATCACACGTTTCAGAGATACTAGTATCAGGTTTGTAACCCACTCCACCCCCACCCTCCCACCACAACATTTAACCTCTTACTACTCCTTCATACTCCAAATTCTCAACATTTTGTACAATCATAGCCACACAAACAAATATTCTACAACAACAACCCCCAACCCAAAAGTCAAATACAAAGTTATACTTTCTTTTTGAGAGAATCACATACTGTAAACCAAGTGTTATTGGTATGCTAGAAATATCTAAAAGTTTCACAACCTTGTCAAAAATAATTCTCGCTTGGAAGCAATGAATTACTGCTGTATTCATGTAAAGTGCTTCCTCAGTTGCCAAAATTAATAGTTGTGGTTTGATTCTCAAACTGACAAATCACTTATAAATGACGTTGCAAATAATAGTTCGTTTACAGTATCCCCCCCCCCTTTCCCCTTCCTCATTAATTTCCTTTATATACCTCAACCAATCAAATGTATGATAACTTGATCTTGACATTTCAGATT